GTGTGGTGTAAGGTGGTCGAAATGTGGGGACCTCCCCAACCCTCGCCTGCTTTGTCGAGTGCGAGTGCCAAAAACTGTGAATTGACTTTTCAACAGCCCTCCTCAGTGTCCTGATCTCCAGAGGCTGAGCATGTGACCCGGGAGCTTCTGGACCGCTCCGGCCTGCGCGAGGTTTGGGGGAGCCCTGCAGCGCTCTGGGCATCCTTGGGTGAGAAGAACAACCGGACCGTCATCGTCTGAGCCGTTTGGGCTGAGAGTGAGGGGAACGGCACAGGTACAGCTAGCTGATGTGTTTGAAGCCAACACAAGATTTGGCACAGCCGCAGCAACTGCCCGATCATTGCTGAGGCAGTCTTTTCTGCTCTTGTCGAGTCTAGCGGGCCAGGTTGTGCACAAAGCACAGTAAATTCGGATGTGCTTTGGCCCGGGACACGACAATCGGAAGCACGCAATGTACATAATTGGCGTGTGGCCTCGCCTTGCGAGCCCTCAGGCCCCGCATGCCTGCGAGGGGCGCCATCATGTCCAGCTTATGCTCAGATGAGCGGAGAGCTCGAAGGGGAGCCAAAGAACTTCGAGGGTCTGGCAGATATGTACTCCAGGGACCATGCATCCAAGGAAGCGTGATGTCTAAACCCTAAACTCTACCCTCCCTAAAGCCTGTCGGACTGTGGTAGGTCGAAATGTCCACTCTTGGACAGCCCGCCTTGCCGAGTACTTCGCCGAGCACAAGGCCGGAAAATCCTGCTGTGGAGACAGGCAGCATTTTGAACATATATTATATTATATTATACTATATTATATTGTATTGTTATATATAGATATATTATATATATCTAATGTTATGTGCACCGTAAAATGTAAGATATATAGTACAAAATGTCAGACATATACTATAAAATATAAGATGTATAAAATAGAGAATATAAAAATAATAGACAGTATCAAACACATAACTTATGACATTTCATATGTAGTATGACATCAGAGTGTTTCGATGGTCGTCGGACGCTGAAGAGGCTCGGACATGCGTTGTTGGTGTGCCGGCCAGCCTGGACCCGAGTTTTGCTTTGCCGCACGGTTTAGGGTTTAGGATTTAGGGGGTTCAGAGTGCTGTGGGCTATCAGTCCGGTCGAGATCTGACAAGGCCGTTGCAACAAGGGGGTTCAGAGTTTAGGGTTTAGGGCCTGTGTGAAACGGCCTCACCTTCGCTGCAAGGCGTGCAGTCCGACCTGCCATTAATCGAGCAGCCGCGCTCTCAGCAAGCGTTCGAGAGCGTGTCCTTTCTGGAACGCCAAACCCTCAACCCGGACAGCCTCGCCCGGAAAGTTCAAGTTGCGACAGTCCAAACCCTCCGTACCAAGGGGTCGCTGTACTGGCATAGTTTTTTTTGCGCATCGATCGGCGTCCACACTGCAAAAAACGGGAGTTCTCAAAGCACGATGGATGCTGTAGCGGAACTATTTTCTTTGCTGTTTTGACAGCTTCTGTGGCATCTACAGTTGTCGTCGATACTGTCGTTGTCGTGTTGTAGTGATGCAACTTTTCGCCGCTGAGGTGTGCTTCTCTGAATGGGTGGGTTCTTTGGGGTCGAGTCGCTTTGTCCATGGGCTGAGTGGCCGTTCTGTTCTGACCTTGCCCTGCCTTTGTCCGAGTCCGAGCGCCAACCGCGCTATATAAACCCCAAGCTAAGCCCGGCCCAAGCTGTGATTTTCTGGGGTTTAGGGCTTTAGGGGTTCGGGGGTTTAGGGTTTTGGTGTTAAGGTTTAGGGGTTTAGGGTGAGAGTCAAAACCTGACCCGAGCCTCAGGACGCTTGGTTACGACACTGTCTGCAAGCTCTACTCGTCCATCGTGGGCAATCTGGCCATCAAGGCAAGACCATCGCGATTCAGTTTGAAATTGGCAGTAGGGCCATTACCCTGAAGTCTCAAACACACTCTGCAAGTTGCCAGTCAAGTTGCAGCCCTGAGCCCTAACACATCCTGAACCCTAGCCCCTAAACCCTAAACCCTCAACACCCAAGAGAGCAACAAAAACACCCAAGCTCGAGGCTGCTTCGTCGGGATCGATTTGGTGCTTCGTGCGGATTCCCGGGCGGTCGATCTCCCACATTGCGGCCGAGGCAGGGGCGACCCCAAGTCAAGTGCAAGTGCTTTTTGGGGTTTGGGGTTTAGGG